TAAAGAAGTGAGATCAACTAATGCTTTGTACTATGATATAAAGAACAAGGTCAACTAATGCTTTACACCATGATATAAAGAAGTGAGATCAACTAATGCTTTGTACTATGATATAAAGAACAAGGTCAACTAATGCTTTACACCATGATATAAAGAACCTGTAAAGCATTAGTTGACCTTGTTCTTTATATCATTGTGTAAATCATTAGTTGACCTTGTTCTTTATATCATGATGTAAAGCATTAGTTGATCTTGTTCTTTATATCATGATGTAAAGCATTAGTTGACCTTGATCTTTATATCATGATGTAAAGCATTAGTTGACCTTCCATGATATAAAGAACAAGGTCAACTAATGCTTTACACAATGATATAAACGGTAAGGTCAACCAAAGCCTTTCATCATGATATAAAGGGTAAGGTCAACTAATGCTTTACACCGTGATATAAAGAACAAGGTCAACTAATGCTTTACATAAAGAGTAAAGTCACTCATAACAGCATGTTGGCCTTCTTTTACCCAAAGAAGTTATCCCAATGCGGAGTTTATAAACAGAGTTATTACGAATCTGTGTCGTCATAAGCGTTGATTCCCAGAGCGTCACCAGAGAATGATAGCTCCATAGAGTGTCACCATAGGACAAATAGTTCTTACTGGATCCGCCAGAGAGTGTGAAAATATTGATAATGTCCTATTCATTGTAATGGACAATATAATCACAGGTTATGATTACAAAATTCACTGACTTTATGGTTATCATTTTAGTCACTTTCAACAGATGATAAAAAAGTCGTTGTTAATTGAATAATAAAATAATTAGTAATGTCGTAACCTTCGATTACAACAGTGGACGTCATAGTTAACTTTCTTTTTATCTCGACTTCAAAACTTCAGACACAATATTTATTATATCTGCAGAATCAACGTGAAAGATTTCTAAGTTTTAATTTCAGTTCGTTATCCTTGTATCCAATAATATACGTAATATTGTTGTGAGTTATTAATAAAAGTAGTTAAAGTAATGACGAATTAAGAATTGACAGTAGTTAAAGTAATGACGAGTTAAAAATTGACAGTAGTTAAAGTAATGACGAATTAAGACTTGACAGTAGTTAAAGTAATGACGAATTAAGAATTGACAGTAGTTAAAGTAATGACGAGTTAAAAATTGACAGTAGTTAAAGTAATGGGTAATTAAGAATTGACAGTAGTTAAAGTAAAGACGAGTTAAAAATTGACAGTAATTAAAGTAAAGACGAGTTAAAAATTGACAGTACTTAAAGTAATGACGAATTAAGAATTGACAGTAATTAAAGTCACACGTATTAAAAATTGACAGTGATTAAAGTAATGACGAATTAAGAATTGACAGTAGTTAAAGTAATGACGAGTTAAAAGATGACAGTATTCATTACTATTGTTTTAACTTCTGTTTAATTTGTCATTACCTACATAGTCTTTAGACGGGCTAATTTTATACATTTTAGTTCTATTACGTTTGATTTTACATTTTTAAGTGTGTGTGTCACGTGTTCTATATGTTTTAATACAGAAATATTCTATTGAGTATATGTCTCAACAATTTGATATAGGCCTAAATGCTTTGTGGTTCTATTTTTAAATGAATTGAAATATCCTACAGAAAAAAAAACAGCAATCGTATCATTCTGTAAAGCACGGATCTTATATCAGGTCACATGATACCGCTTGACAAATCAGAAAACAGTACGAGATAGATACATATTTTGTTTGATTTATATAGTATAAGAAATTATTTTAAAAGCGTTCCACCAAATCACGTGACTATAGAACGTCACGGGCTACCCGATCAGACAAAACAATAAGTATTACCAGCTAATCTGTTTAACGTTATTTACATAATACGTGTCGGATTGAGAGAGTTGTATAGCTTGTAGTTAGAATCAACTGTAATGAAATCAGCCCTTTTGAAGTCTATATAAGTAATGATGAGAAAATAAAACCGTCGTAATGGTTGAATATACAAAAACAGATTTGCGTTTGAAAATACTGAATTTTCTTTAGTTAGGTTTATATATTTGCAAAGGATGTATATCTAAAGTTTAAAAGTTTTGTGTATCACTTAACTTAAGAATGAAAACGCTCCAAATTAGTTGAATGGACGGCAACTACCTGTTGTAGAAACACAACTGTAGAGTAACGACGTTTCGAAAGTTTTCTGCCGTTCAGGTCAGTGTGTGTATACGGTGTTTGTCGGTCATTATTGTATTCTGGTGGATTGTGGAGAGCGTGTTATGATTGGTTGGTTTATCCCAGTTTCTGATTGTGCTCTCCAGTTGTAAGTTAATCTAATGTTTGAATAATCAAATGAATAAACCGTGAAGGGGACTTCAAAAAATAATAAAACAAATATGATGAGATACAAAAAATATGACGTTTATTATGGGATACACGGATTCTGAAACGAAATTACAAATTCCTTCATCATGTTATTGAAGAAATGATAAGGATGGTGTCTGAAAATTCGCAGTCGAGGTCAAAACAAAGTTTTTATGAAGTCTACTTTTTGTAGTCCCTGGGTGGAACATTGACTGGGTGGAACATCGACTGGGTGGAACATCGTGTCTACTTTTTGTAGTCCCTGGGTGGAACATCGATCGAATTTAATTGAAATATATTAGTTTTAGAACATAGTAAAATAAATTCGATAACGAGGAACCAACTTTGAGACTACTAATGGCTGGAGACGGCTTGAATGGGTAATGAAGAAAAACTTTAACATAACAGCAAATGATGATGACAAAACTTTGTCGAAACGTTGTACATTTGCTGTTATGTTAAAGTTATATTAAAGGTTTTCTTCATTACCCATTCAAGCCGTCTCCAGCCATTAATAGTAAAATAAAATCATAACCAAAAAAAAGAGATCTCTGTTATAATAAAATACATGAGTATGAGATCATCAATCTGCTTTATTGTTACACCGTCTGGTGGAGTTAAAATGAACTACTTCCCCTGTGCTGACATTCTGTGGAACTATACGTCCTCTGGCAGCTGTCTACGGAACTAACGTCCTCCGGTGGCATTCTAAGGAACTATTCGCTCTCAGTAACGCTCTAAGGAACTGACACCTATGAAGTCACAGATCACGTGATATCCACTCTCTAAAAGCTCCCCAATATGTGGTATCCTCTTCAACCACTCCCACTCTTTTGGGCGAGGGTTGGGCTGGGGTACTACTACTATCAAGGCATAAAAAACAAGGTCCATCAAAGCTGTACGCTTTGGTTTGATGAAAAAGATATGTTAACTTTTAATTCATTGCCTAAAGAGTAAACCCAAGTTAAATATGTCATTATCTGGAAACCGACGTGGTTTTTATACACAGTATCTTACCTTCTAGATGGACAGTATCTTACCTTCTACTTGGACAGTATCTTACCCTCTACGTAGACAGTATCTTACCTTCTACTTAGACAGTATCTTACCTTGTACTTGGACAGTATCTTACCTTCTACTTAGACAGTATCTTACCTTCTACTTAGACAGTATCTTACCTTCTACTTGGATAGTATCTTACCTTGTACTTGGACAGTATCTTACCTTGTACTTGGACAGTATCTTACCTTCTACTAGGACAGTATCTTACCTTCTATTTGGACAGTATCTTACACTCTACTTGGATAGTATCTTACCTTCTACTTGGACAGTATCTTACCTTCTAGATGGACAGTAACTTACCTTCTAGATGGACAGTATCTTACCTTCTACTTGGACAGTATCTTACACTCTACTTGGATAGTATCTTACCTTCTACTTGGACAGTATCTTACCTTCTACTTAGACAGTATCTTACCTTCTACTTGGATAGTATCTTACCTTCTACTTGGACAGTATCTTACCTTCTACTTAGACAGTATCTTACCTTCTACCTGCAAGTAGAACTTTTTATGTTGAACTGGATGAGAGTCAGTACTAGTGACGCATGCGTACAAACCAGAATCTTCCGGTCGAATGTTACGTATGGTTAAACACCAGGTTTGATTCCCATTCCTCTGAACGCTAATTCGACGGTCACGTGTGATCATCTGATCTTGTAGAGATAACAGTTTTTCTTCACCCTCGTTTATCCACGCCACCTAGTGTTAGATTTACAAACAGACTTCAAACCTTCACAGGTTAAGAAAATGACTTTTTCCAAGAGAACAGTGAACTCTTGTAGCTTTCATCTAAATTAAGATATGAACACTGTGTGTTTAAAACATGCATAATTTCAATTTTATGATGTGTTCCTAAATGAAATGACCAAATCAAACAATATCGTCATTGCCTGGCCAGTGGCAAGCAGTGGCCTCGTTTTTCTTCTGTTGATTTTGTAACATTCTGCTAGCCGTTTTATATAAATTCAGTTTCATTCTGTCGTCTCAGATATTATCAAAAAATTATTAAGAATTTCAATGAAAAACAAGTCAACAACACGTAGATAATCTTAACAAGTGATACAAATGTCTTTATTACTTCATTAACTTAACAACTGATAGAGATGTCTCTGTTACTTCATTAACTTAACAACTGATAAAGATGTCTCTGTTACTTCATTAACTTAACAACTGATACAGATGTCTCTGTTACTTCATTAACTTAACAACTGATAAAGATGTCTCTATTACTTCATTAACTTAACAACTGATAAAGATGTCTCTATTACTTCATTAACTTAACAACTGATAAAGATGTCTCTATTACTTCATTAACTTAACAACTGATAAAGATGTCTCTATTACTTCATTAACTTAACAACTGATAAAGATGTCTCTATTACTTCATTAAATTAACAATTAATAAAGATGTCTCTATTACATCATTAACTTAACAACTGATAAAGATGTCTCTATTACTTCATTAACTTAACAACTGATAAAGATATCTCTGTTACTTCATTAAATTAACAACTGATAAAGATGTCTCTATTACTTCATTAAATTAACAATTAATAAAGATGTCTTTGTTACTTCATAAACTTAACAACTTATAAAGATGTCTCTATTACTTCATTAAATTAACAAAATATTTGTGTATAAAGTATGAACTAACGATAATGATAATAAGAAGATCAACTGGTTTTGTTGTATTTCCTTACAATGACTTGATATTGGACTTCGAGAACTACTGTGTATGTATATACAATATCTTATGTTAAGATAAACGTGACAACGCTCCTTCTTTCATCGATGCTCTGTTCTTTTGTTGGTTGTTTCTTTGTGGTGAAAGTGAAATTGATTCGCGTATTCTGCTAGAAGACAAAATAATTCTCTAAAATAAATAAACTAGAAGACACTGCAATCCAAAATAATTCTCTACAATAAATAAACTAGAAGACATTGCAATCCCAAATAATCCTCTAATGTAAATAAACTAGAAGATACTGCAATCCAAAATAATTCTCTAAAGTAAATAAACTAGAAGACACTGCAATCCAAAATAATTCTCTAAAATAAATAAACTAGTAACCACTGCAATCCCAAATAATCCTCTAATGTAAATAAACTAGAAGATACTGCAATCCAAAATAATTCTCTAAAATAAATAAACTAGTAGACACTGCAATCCCAAATAATCCTCTAATGTAAATAAACTAGAAGACACTGCAATCCAAAATAATTCTCTAAAGTAAATAAACTAGAAGATACTGCAATCCAAAATAATTCTCTAAAGTAAATAAACTAGAAGACACTGCAATCCAAAATAATTCTCTAAAGTAAATAAACTAGAAGACACTACAATCCAAAATAATTCTCTAAAGTAAAGAAACTAGAAGACACTGCAATCCAAAATAATTCTCTAATGTAAATAAACTAGAAGATACTGCAATCCCAAATAATTCTCTAAAGTAAATAAACTAGAAGATAGTGCAATCCAAAATAATCCTCTAAAGTAAATAAACTAGAAGATAGTGCAATCCAA